TAAAAATTTCTAGTCGAAGTTCCTTCGAAAGTGGTGCGTTTCGAGTTCGACACCGTATTGTTTTTAGCTCACGCCCCATGAGCTATTCAAGAAAACCACTCATTTGTAAAATAGACGATGTACCGTGAGTTTTAAAAATGATCTTATTGCATCAGCTGCTTCATGCAAGTAGACCATGGGATAATGAATGATCAAAAAAATATGTTATTTTTTTGCAAGGTACTAGTTAACTAATGAATTTTTAAAGAAAGTTGCTGATGATTTTGGCTCGACTTTCGGGCTTCGCGTTCTGATGACCTGAGCTAGAGCGATATTTGTCAGTTATTAACTTAGTTAGGCGTTACGTTGAAGAGATGTTATGCCAGAACTTTTAAAAATTTCTTTACTAACTTGATGATTTTCATTAACTTTATTATTATGGTCCAAATTCGTTTTCTATGACAGCTTTCATGTGCACATGCAACGACGTCGCCGTTTTGGCAAATCATTGATAATGCCTAGGCCTTTTTCTCGATCAAAAGAAACCCTTCAGTATAAACTTAACACAAATGGTCTGTCTTTAAAGCATCACGTTTGTGAGCTAATTCCCTTCTCTGTTCCGCTAAAATATCTTATTAGGTTTTTGCGCATGTAGTTTAGGGCGGAAGAAAACCCCAACAAGTTACAATAATGCGAATGATAGATATCTCATACCGGGTTATTTTTCCGTGCCTTTCATCAACCCCACAGTCAGAGCTATTTTACGCTATGTCATGACTTCTCAACCCAAATGATCGATGATGCGGATTTCGTGATTGACGCTAATGGACATAAAGGATCTAACCCATACTGAAGGGACCATAGCACAGAAAGAAAGAACAGTAGTTTCCTCTGAGTATTTGACCTCATTCTAGTAACAGTCGTGTTATAAACACTGAAACTATTCCAGTTACATTTAATACGCAGACGATTACTACCCTAGACTCGTAGGCGCGTCTAGATCTTTATTTTCAGTTTTATGACATTACTTCACGAATATTGTCCAAAATCCTGGACATATTTAGCGCTTGCCCTTTTATCGTCTGGTTCCCCGTCAGCCATTTTCCTTTTTATGGTATCATAGTAGCGATCCAGAACGTTCAAAGACCATGGTATGCTGACGTTGTGCAGCTCGGCAACAAAGAAACGGGCGAAGTTGGTGGCTTCCGATTCCGTTATCGAACCATTTGCGTCATCTTGCGGCATCCACGCTCCGAGATATGTCAGCAAACCGTTTTCTCCCCTTTGATAATCAGTTGCGTGTTTAATTGCAGTTTTGACGTTGTTTTGGCCTTCAGAACTGCCGTCACCGCTCCCGTGCTTCTGGAAACCAAGCACTTTGTTTGGACCAGAGGCATAAATATGCCACTCAGCCATCATATATTTATAATTTTCATAGATTTTTTAATCAGTTTTAGATAAGTCCTCGGCAGTTTTTCAGGGAGATCCCAAAATCAGAATACGCTGAGCGTTGTTCCCACTTGTACATCGGATTTCGTGCGTCACGTTCATGGTCCATCGGTTATATTTCTCGGTATTCTCGCGAAGACTCTCGTCACTTTTGTCATTTCGTTCGCAAGTGTCTTTTCCTAGTTCTGTAAAAAGATTAAAACTCAGTCTATAGTCCTTGTCCTTTAACTGCTGTGCTACCGCTGTCCACCAATTCACGTAGGCTTTAAAGTCCTTTTCCATGGCGCAGGCCTCTGCTTGATGGTGAACCCAGGAGATGATTGGAATCACATCATGTTTCAGACAATGGTCGACAACGGTCGTCAGGTCGCTAAGAAACCGTTTGAATTTGTCGATAGAGTAGTCATATGAGTAGAGATCTGCCCTGCATCGAAGTCTTAAGTTACTAAGGCCTTTTTCATGGACGTCTATGATGTTCTGTTTCCAGTACTTTTTCATCGGCGTCTTCGTTTTGAACCAATTCGTAGAAAATCCTGCTCTGACAATCCCTGCTTGGTACTCTTCCGGGGTAATTGGATCATTTACGTTCACTCCTACAAAAAAAATTGAATCGACCAAGAATATTAGAACGAACACTGTCGAATGTCTGGTTTACAACAGAGTTCGTTCACCAAGCGAAAATAAAAAACGATCCGAAATTTTGACATTTCAATTCTAGAAAATTCATTTCAATTCTAGAAAATTCATTTCAATTGGAAAAACAGTTTCATTGAATCTCGAAAAGTACCCCAAAACAGACGAAAATATTCAATTTGGTCTAGAGACTTGGTCTCAAGCATCGGAGCGCTGAATCCGTAGGTTTAAGGTTTGATTCTTTGTGAGGATTTGAATTTTTTTTTTCTCACACGCTCATGACACAAAAAAAAATAAAACATCTAGACAACGAGGAGTCCCTCCTTTTCGGCGAAGTCCTTAACGCGAGGAAAAACATTGAGTGAAAAAAAATTGATGTTAGTGTGCCGCAGGATGCTCTTAGAGTAAGCTCCCGTGGTGCATCGACTTCACTCCAAGGGATGCCTTGTAATTCAATCATGGCTACCAGTTTCTAGCAAAGAAAAGGTGGAGCTTCATCTCTTTACCAGTAGTTTTAAGCGATTGATTAAAGGTCTTTCATTTCTAACGAACAACTGACAAAATTTGAAATTTACATCGCGACCTTAAACTGCAACTGTGCGCAATTTCATTAATCGTTTTCGTGAGCCAATGATTCTCTTTCAGATATTTACGCGATGGAATACAAAATAAACTCTTCACATCGCATTTTAATTAAAAACTTCTATGGACCCACCTGTTTCCCCGGTTATGAATATGATAAAGAGCATTAAAGCTGAACTTAACAGGACCAATGATCTGAACATTTCGTCTCCTTTAGTTGATTTTTTTCGATCTGTAAAGGGGAATTTAAAAACTACATTTAAATCTTTGTGTCCGAGAAAAAGCGTCGTTTACTGAGTTCCGGGATTCCTGAGTGAAGTAACAATTATTATAACATACGACGCAGATTGATATTTCCTTAAAGTATACTTCAATAGAAGATTTTAATTTTAAAATCGTACAATTTCAGAAATTCCATCACAAACCTACGAAATTTTATGGCCGTAAATTCTAGTAATGAAAAGTTCAAGCATGTTGAAGTCTGGTGCATGCAGGAAATTCGTTCATTTTTGCTTCCATTTAGCAAATTTACAATTCTATGAATAAAGATTTAATCTCGAAACATCCCTTGATCGTTTTTGCTTTGTTTTTCATTCATAGTTTTTGGGTAGATCGCGATTACCTCGGAAACGCGACAAAATAATGATAAAACTCTCTCTTCAAACACAAGTTGTGTCTGATATGTTCATGCGGCTTTTAGCTGTACGTATACAGTTGTCGAGTTTGGATGCATTTTGGAAGTTTGGAGAGCACTCAAGGAGCTAAAGCTGTTCTCGACTGCACCTGGAGCAGAGATTTGATTCTGACTACACTCAGGCGAGATATTCGATGTGAAAGTTTATTCAGGATGAGTCAGCCAGCCTTGTAGTATGCGCATCCTACTAGAATCTGCAATGTTCTGGAGGTATTTACTGAAACTAAAGGGTTATAAACATTAGCCTGTGCTACGCCAGATACGAAAAACCACTAAAACACCACTCTTTAGAAGTGGCCAAAAGATACGTGGAAACGTATTCCTCATCTAATGCAGTAGCACAGTACCCCGTGGAAAGGGTAATTAAAATAAACCTAGTTCAGTACATTACTAATCAAACAGAAAATTCAATAAGAGCGGTGATATTTTACAGAGAATTGTAAAACAAAATTACATTAAATAAGAAAAAATAAAATGGTCAAACCTAATAAGACTGACCGACCTAGAATGACTTAATTTTCRCCGGAAAATCTTAAATAATCCGAAACTACGATGATGCCACGCGAACCTCTTCAACGTGCCGTCAGAATATTAATTTCTGACTAATTCGTTCCCATGTCACTCAAGCGTCAGAAATTACATATTCTGACTACACTCAGGCGAGATATTCAAAGTGAAAGTTTATTCAGGATGAGTCAGCCAGCCTTGTAGTATACGCATCCTGCTAGAGCCAAAGAAAGGGAAATATGAACTTAAAAGTAAACGATACAGAATTAAATACCTAGCTTTTTTGACACTGACAAACTTGAACTCAGACTATCACCGACATAGCCATTTTTTGCGGAAACAGATTTCCAACGCCCGTGCCTCTGAAAGAGTCTGTCGGGAACACCAGCATTAGCTGCAGCAGAAGCGCCACCGGCTCTTAGGGAATGTGTGGTGAATTGAGAAATATCTGGAACAATATCCCTAGAGCAAGATTTGAAGTAATATCTTATACAATTATATCATGAAAAAAATCAAAACCTGAAGCAAAGTTCCTGATCAGAGAAAATGATAGACATTATGGTAAACATCATGCACAGTCGTCCTTGAAAACAGATTCAGTTTCCGCGGATCGTGGGCCGTGCGGGATCTTTCTGTTGATTGTTTTTGCTGTAGGCCTTTTTCTTATTAAGGAAACAATCGCTTATCACTAAGCGCAGAGTTGCCACCGAAACATAAAAATTCACTCAAAATTCAAGTGACTACCATGAAACATAAAACCCTGTTTTATATAGATAACATTCCATTCTCTTGCTTGATACGCTCTCTAACTGCTTGTTCACTCTATATTTCTTGTCATATCATTCGATCAGCACATTGCTCAACATTGAAAATCTGTTATTTTTGCCATTTTCGCGTGAATTTTTTTTCATTTGAGAGTTGTTCTATAGTACTCGTATCTGTAAACGACAGTTATGATATGGCAGATGTTTGTCAAAATCCTAATTCTTGACCCCTGGCGTAATTATTCGATGCTACTTTGCTAAAAATAATCTTCAGTAAAATCCCAAATTGATAACGAAATTGTTTATATCGGTCAGCTCGACAACCAATGAGAGGTAATACGTAGAAGGACTAGGGGGTTCCCCGGCAGATTTCTTAGAAACCGAAAGACGTGTAATGAATCATGCAGCAGATTTTCGTGAAACCTAAATAGCTCAAATATGCTGAGGTTGTAAAACACACGCGGATAGCGATACTCGTACGTTCGACTCCTTTTAAAATATATTCTCGGAGATAATAATACCAAACAAGCGAACTATTGAGAGCAATGGATGAGACACACCAAGGGATAGAATCGAAGCATGAAGTTTTCTCTCTAACAGCCATAAACAGATCGATCAAGTCGAATTGGAAGGCAGGACTTCTGACTCTGATCGTTGTGGCTGTTTGTCTTTTTCTGGCATTTGCACTAATATCACCACCTAAAAAATCTCTCAGAAATGGAGGTAAGTAAAGGAAATTATTCTTTGTCGCTGGGTAAATGATCGAATTCAGCACATCATTAACATGCAAATTTTTGCGATTGCTGTGGCATTTACCCCTAATAATTTAAATGTTGGCGTGAGAGTTGCTATACATTTTGACCCATATTAACTAGCTCAGTTACCGATAGTAATGATCTTTTGTTCGATGTTTGTCTAAGTCTTAACTCAATCGTTAAAGCTACGAACAGAAAAGCGATGGATATCAGCAGTCTATGATTACTTTCGACAGTGAACTTGCGAATGAGAAAATGCTTCGATAGCCATTTTTCACTTAATGATGTGAAGCTCATTTCTCTCGGTTTGATGTTCTGAATTATTAGACATGGCCCTCCAGAAAATTCGTCGTCATGAAAAAGAATCTGGAATTTTAAAGTTTGATATTAAAGTATTGATCCGTCTCCTCTCTCTTTAACAGATGCACCAACACCAGCGACAAGTTTTAATTGCCGTCAGAAGCCATTTTGTGATGGAAATGCTACTTGCAAACCAAATTCAAAAGATACGACGCATTTCAATTGCGTTTGTAATAATGGCTTCCAAGGAGATGGATTTTCGTGCGAGGATATTGATGAATGTAAGAGCGAAATACACAGCTGTAGCGACCATGCAGTGTGTGACAACATTGTAGGCTCCTATAGGTGTAGTTGTTTCGATGGATTCGAGGGCAACGGACGGTCTTGTTACGACATTCATGAATGCAATACTAATACTCACAACTGCAGTGTTCATGCATCTTGCAGTAACACTCAAGGCTCCTACACGTGCAGTTGTCTGGAAGGATTCAAAGGCGATGGCAGGTCTTGTCATGACATCGAAGAATGCAAGACTAACACACACGATTGCAGTGTTCATGCATCCTGCAATAACACCATAGGCTCCTACAGGTGTAATTGTCTGGAAGGATTCCAAGGCAATGGACAGTCTTGTCATGACATCGATGAATGCATAACAGGTACACACAACTGTAGCGTTCATGCATTTTGTAATAACATTGTCGGCTCCTACAAGTGCAGTTGTCTGGAAGGATTCCAAGGAAATGGACGTTATTGTCATGACATCGATGAATGCATTACAGGTACACCCAACTGTAGCGTTCATGCATTTTGTAATAATACTGTCGGCTCCTACAAGTGCAGTTGTCTGGAAGGGTTCCAAGGCGATGGACGGTCTTGTCATGACATCGACGAATGTAAGACTAACATGCACGATTGTAGTGTTTATGCATCCTGTAATAACACCGTAGGCTCCTACAAGTGCAGTTGTATGGAAGGATTCCAAGGCGATGGACGGTCTTGTCATGACATCGACGAATGCAAGAATAACACACACGATTGCAGTGTTCATGCATCCTGCAATAATACCATAGGCTCCTACAATTGTAGTTGTCTGGAAGGATTCCAAGGCGATGGAAGGTCTTGCCATGACATCGATGAATGCAAGACTAATAGGCACGATTGTAGTGTTTATGCTTCCTGCGATAACACAGTAGGCTCCTACAATTGTAGCTGTTTGGGAGGATTCCAAGGCGATGGACGGTCTTGTCATGACATCGACGAATGCAAGAATAACACGCACGATTGCAGTGTTCATGCATCCTGCAATAATACCATAGGCTCCTACAATTGTAGTTGTCTGGAAGGATTCCAAGGCGATGGACGGTCTTGCCATGACATCGACGAATGCAAGACTAATAGGCACGATTGTAGTGTTTATGCTTCCTGCGATAACACAGTAGGCTCCTACAATTGTAGCTGTTTGGGAGGATTCCAAGGCGATGGACGGTCTTGTCATGACATCGACGAATGCAAGAATAACACGCA